AAAATCTTACCATCAGTTATAGCACTAGAATATCACTGAAATCAACAGAATTGAATGGGTTTAACACAAAACAGAGTTTGGCTCACCAAGCAAGGCTATGTCTAGACTACAAAGATAAGTCAGAAAAAGATACATAAATTGTGAACCGCAATTTGCGTATCTTTTTCTGCCTTTTTGTCTGAAGAGGCTTTTCCTAAATTCCGCATTGTCTACATGGTGCCAAATTTTAGAAAAACCTGCTCTTTCAAGCCATCCTTCCTCATAAAATGAGGTTTACAGGGACAGTGAAAGAACACATACGTTTTTTCAAAAAATTTTTTGAAAAGGTGGATGCGTTCCTTGGACGCAGCATTGTTTTTCTGGGATACTGCTGATATCCCAGAAAAGTGCTACAGGCTAGACATAGCCCAAAAGAAAAATGACAGTTTTTGTTCTGTGCTCTGATATGGAATATTTAAAAATTTCATTTGGCATTGCTTTTATTTAGGCTATCATCTATCTATATTTCTGGGTTGTTTGACTACACAGTTTTTCATATTTAAATGTTTTAGGATGTTTATTGGATTCCTTTTACATCGTGGCTGGAAGCTGAAGACATATATTCCAATCAGAAATCAGGCAAACAAAAAGTCATGAGTGATTAGCTGTGGGAATAAATTATCAAGGTAAATGGTAGATTCTCCATCTCTTGTGGTAAAGACCTTTTTAGAAGGCTTTAACCAATCACAAGTTACTGGGTTCCGTACAGGAGTAACTGGATGAAATTGAAAGGCCTGCGATATATAGGCAGTCAGACTAGACAATTTAATGGTCCCTTTTGGCCTCATAATTGATTAATCTATAAAAATATGCATGGCTTTTTTCAATCCTTTGTCTTGAATTTGACTCATTTAAAAAAAAAAAAAAAAAAGCACAGAATCTGCCAAGTACTGACCACTTGGTTTTGGATCCAAAGTCTGTTGAAATCAATGGGTTGATTTCAGTGGGCTTTAGCTCAGATCCTTGCTGCAAAGCTTAAAAGGATCCAAAGTCTGTTGAAATCAATGGGTTGATTTCAGTGGGCTTTTGCTCAGATCCTTGCTGCAAAGCTTACAGTATTTAGCACACTCAAAACTGTTTGATAACTGCCAAGAAATGCAAGTGAGTGAAGACGAATCTTCAAAGAGGTTAATACACGCACACACAGTCACTAATGTGCATTTAATTCAGTCACAAGAATAGGAGCTACAAATGAAGCCATGCCAATAAAGGGCTGAATCCTTCTCAGGCAAATATTCTCATTTACTTTAGAATATATGCGTAAGGAAGGAGGTCAGAAGTGGTGCAAACATAGTCAAAGGAGTTTGGTATAGGCAAGTGCCACCCTACTGCAACAAACCTGTGGCTAAGCATACTTCATGAAAAGCGTGAAACATGAAAAGCGTGCCGCATAACTTGAGCTCCCACATGAATTTCCAACATTCCTCAGAGGGAGGGGGTATCAACTAGCAGAAGGATGCACCTTAAAACACCAATGGGTCTCCCCACTGAGACACTGACACACACCAAAACAACTGCTGCTGATTTTCAGGATGGTCAAAGAGCAAGAGCTGTTATGAGCATACAAGGCAGGGATTATGTACAATAGCAATAAATAACCTGCAGGGCTCAAACACCACACAAGCCCCATTCCTCCCCCCTCCTCACACTCCCAACATGTAGGAAAAAAATAATTTCCTACATAATCTTTCAAGATTAAATACAACAGGAAATTAGAGATGTACCTCCAGGAAAACCTGACACCACAGGAGTTGTCTTTGTGATTTACAGCTGCAGTTGCCTCTCCTGCATGGCTATAATATGATGATTTTCTGCCAGTTTTAAGAGCTCTGGAGAGTGGACCAGATCACCCATCCAACAGCAAGCTAAATGGCCAAGCTATGGTAATGTTCTTTTGCTTAATATTGGTAGCATCCTGTAACATTAGATGCCTTCAGAAGGCATAACCAATTATTCTATCCCATGCGTTTGGGCTTTTACCTATAGCATAAGAGTGAACTCAAGCCAAATTAAAAATAAGTATTTAAAAAGTAAAATATATTTGCCACTTTGCCAATATACATCCCTAGCCTGAAGACAAGTTGATTTTTTCATATTTGGGATTATTTACTTTGCAAAGCATTTTATAAAGTACACTACGCTCAGATTGGGCAAACAAGGATTTCTTAGCTATGGTAACTAGGGTTGTCAATTAATGCGCGTTAATGCCTGCAATTCATTCAGACCATAATTAACACGTTAATTTTTCTAACACATTAATTGCAGGCTTTTCTGCAGCACTGCCCCTTTGAAACACCACTAGGGTGTTTCAAAGGGGCAGCGCAGTAGAAGCCTGGAGTTCCCAGCTGAACCCGGACAGCATGCAACGCTGAAACACTGCTGCTGTGTTTCAAAGGGGCAGCACAAGCAAAGCCCAGGATCAGCTGGGGATTCCAGCTGATCCCAGGGTCCCACCGCGCTGCCCCTTTGAAATGCTGCGGTGGCAGCGTTTCTAAGGGACAGCGTTGCACAGAGCTGGGGTCAGCTGTGGATTCCAGCTGATCCCAGGTTGCCATGGCTCTGCCCCTTAGAAATGCTGTGGAGGCGTGCAATTAATTGCACGATTAAAAAAATCATCTCTATTGATCGCGTAATTAATCACAATTATTTTTTTTTAAATCGCTTGACAGCCCTAATGGTAACTAAATACTGAGGGAAATCTTTGGGATACTATCAAACCAAGGCGTGCTAGATATGTCTGAGCAATAAGCCCAAATGTACAGAGGAAGATTAATTTTAGTCACTTGCTTGTGAAAGTAACACCTTGAGACAAATAAAAAAAAGTTATAAGGCATTTCAATGGAAGAGCTCAGGATTTAGATGTAGAGTCCTATTCTCTGTTGGGCTAAGGAGCTTCTGGGGCCACCAAAATCCCACCAAGGATCATAAGTAATCAGGCTCCAAAGAGGATAACTGAAATTTGTCTAAAATTCATTGAAACAGGGTTTAAATTTTCATCACTTGTTACAGGCTCAGGCCTTTGCAAAAGAGAGGAAGAAGTGCCAAAATATACCCAAAAAAATGCTCTGGCAAAAAAAACCCTGTAATTTTCTCCCATTTTCAAATCATCATCTGTCACCACTCCACAATATTGTATGTGAAAAATGTTTTGCGTTGCTCAGTTGACACTAAGCCAGATTCAATCCTGGTTTAAGTGGGTGTTGATTTTTATGAATCAGTCCTGTGGCCCTTCATGGCATTTAGTTGCAACGTACTACATAGGGAATACCGCTAGAACAGATGTTAAAACTTCCTTTTTGCTGTGGAAGCCTGTTGCTTAAACTGGAGTTTGAGTATTTAAAGAACATTGGTCGATACTTATTTAGATGCTTAAGTATGGAGTTAAGAGCCTAATTTACGTATCCATTCTTGAAAGAAATGAACTGTATAACTAGTCTACAGGGTTATGGCTCACTGCTGTACTGTGTCAAACCATAATTATTTTGTTACTCTACTGAATCTTCCGCAATTGTCATATGCACAGACAATGGGAATTCCACAGTGTGAGTCAATGCAGAAGATGCAGTGATTGGATGCACTGCTGATCGGAGAAAGGAATTTATGCACAGACAATGGGAATTCCACAGTTTGAGTCAATGCAGAATATGTAGTGATTGGATGCACTGCTGATTGGAGAAAGGAATGTTGTCTATGCTGTTCATGCCAGAACTATTACATGAACACACTTCAGATCCTGGCAGGTGCTAATTTTTTTGTTAAAATTATATGTAGATCAATGGTTCTCAAACTTCTTGGCTCAGAGTTCACCCTCCTCAATGCAGACCTTTCTGCAAACCACTAACCAACTATCCATGATGACAAAATGGGTGCAGAGGTGGTAAGGATGCAGGTCTGGCTCAGAGGCTGGGTGCAGGAGTGGGCTGAGGGTAAAAGGGTGCAGGTGCAGTGGGGATGTGGTGGGAGCAGGGGTTGGTTAGTGGAATGGGAAAGCAATGTCTGAGCATGAGGGTTGCTTACCTGGCTCAGTAGCTCCTGCCACACCCAGGCATCAACCCTGCCACGTTCATTAGCCATGATTCCAGCCACTGAGAGCATCGGAGAAAGTCTCAGGGAGATAGTTTCCCCCAGCTGGGGGAAAGGGAGCAGCAGCACACACTGCTGCTTCCTTCCCCCACAAGCCAAATTTGGCCTGCGAGGCTCCCCTCCCCTCCTGCTGCAGTGAGAAGCCAGTGCTGGCACTTCAACCTTGTGGGGGGAAGGGAGCATGGGGCTGGAGTGCCAGCACAGGCTCCACATAGTAAGGGGAGGGTGAGCAATGAGCCCACGGCCCACTTGCAAAATGGGACCACACTTTGAGAGCCACTGATGTAGATGATCAAAATCCCTTAGTCATCACATCAGCAGTCAATGCTTCTATAAAACAGTTTGCATGTGTGTATGCATAGCTATGTAATCTAACTACCTATCAACCTTTCTTTTGACTAACCCAGACCCAGGCCCATCAGGGGTTATACAACCTCCACTCCTACTGATATAAATAAGATTGTTTGTGGAAGTTGCTCAGCATCTGACAGGTCAGACCCCAGTTTCGTTCTGGTGCAAAACAAGAACAGCACAAACATCACATACAAGACACTCATCCCAGTCTGAATGATGAGATGTGAAACAAAAGATTTTCAAATTCAATGCTGGTTGCAATTGCAGATGGTCTTTCATGATCCTTCAAAGAGACATGTCAATTCTTTTAGTATCTTAAATTAAATGATCATGTGGAATCATTTTCATGGGAGGAAAGTTTGAGTCAGAGCTGCAAGCCTGTGACAATAAAATGAATGAAAATAAAATGAAAATGTATTGGCATCTTCACATTTTTGTCCTCCTTATTGCTATAATATCCTGGCTTCATGGAAAAGGCACTGTGGTCTTCTGCCAAAGTGAAAACCCCTGGTAAGTTTACTTACATGTATTCTCTGTGTGCAGAATGCACAGCAGCTGCATTGTTGTAACGCCACAGAACTATCACTGATGACAAAACGTCCAGGATAGCATCAAACTGAAAAGAATACATAGTTAATTGCTTTTGTGGGTTATTAAGGTGCACTGTAGTTAAACCAATGCATCTGTAATCATGCTGCATGGGCACAAAGTAGCTCCAAATAAATCATTTAGTTAAAGCAGGATTTACATTCATTTAAATGATCTTTACTGTGTACCATTACCCAACAGTGTATATCAGACTTCAGTCAGTCAATCAAGGAAAGAGCTTTGTTTATAATCCACCCGCATACAGAGTTACTTGGCTTAAAAAATAATTATTGAAATAATGTGGTCACCACAATATTTACAATTACTAGTGTATTTCTTATGTGGCATCTAAAAGGAAAAATGTCACCAATATTTCAGCAACAAATTCACAATTTTTGTTTAACAACTTTTGCTACGGAATATCATCTGTTTAGTTTCACTTTATGCCACATCTTTGGCAAAATCTTCACATTCACAACACTTAAAACATAAATTTTTTACATGTTTTGATACAGTGCCATCTCTGCTCAATAACTGACCCATTAAGAGTTTCTTCGCTGTCTAATGTAGAAACTGCAGGACTCTGACAAAAAAAGTATATGCTTCATTTAATTGGTGAGTTAAGCAATCCTTCTACATCGTGCCCAGAATAATTCACAAATCTAATCCAAATTTTCCACAGAAAAATGTCCCACTTTCAATTTCAAAATACAAAATATTTGACTTTCAAACTGTTTTTCATTTAATTAGGAATATTTCCTCTAAAGATAATCTCTACTGGGAATAAATTAGATTTTTAGAGACCAAAAATGAAATCCTGTCCATAATTAAGTCCATGAGAGTTTTGATATTGACTTCAATTGGAACAGAATTTCACAAGTGATCTTGGGGTTCTCAAACCTATGCTTACTCAGGGGATAAATATGCTGCAGGACCTTGCAATGGAAAATTGGTTCTGGTTTGTAATAACTCTCCCTTTTAGCTTTTGCTATAGCATCCACCATAAGCGCAATATCTAAACATTGATATAAATGCCATTGTCTGCTGGGAATTGAAAGCAGACCACCTTAATGCATTTACCTATTACTTATGCCATCACATTTAAATAATGATCAGTCACTGATTTTCTTCTGGATGCTTTCCTTGGCTAAGAAAAATTGTAGTCAGGGTTCAGAAATTGCGTGCAACATAACATCTCACTGTTTATGTAATTATAAGATTACTTACAGCAAATCCAAATGATGATGCACTGTACCTCATTATGGAGACAGCTAAAAGAAAGAAAATACTATTTAGCATACATTTAAAACTTCTCTTGGATATTTTCTTTCATTTAAGAGGAGAACTGCACTTTGAAAAGCAGAAAAACATGCACAATACATAGAAAACAAGTCAGAGCATAAATTAGCAACAAAACCAGCTTGCAAGGTTCTCATATGAATACGTATGGAGAAGTCTACTAGGAACGCACAGCATGCCATAGGAAACAGCATAGTTAGGGAATGAGTGGCCCTCTTTCTTCCAAATGGGAGCAGGCCAGTACCCAAGTATGCCATTAAGGGGCATTGTGCTGTTTAAACAAAATGAGGTTCTGATCAAAGTTGTGCAGGGAACCAGAATTTCTGTCCCATGGAATTCTTTTGCATTTGAGGTGATTTTTTTTTATAAGTTCCATAACAGAATGAAATGTCCAAAATGCAAAATTGTCTATAGAACAGAAATTTTGGCAAAAAAAAATCCATTTGAGAAGCCCCAAACTGAATTCTTCCAAAACTTCTGGGCTGGCTGGTAAGCTAGACTCCCAGCTGGCTTCTTGCTGGCTGGACCATCCAGTTGGCAGAAAAGCCATAGAGCCAGACAACCTGGCAGGCCACCTGTGGTGCTACCCAATTGGAAAAACTAGCTGCCTTGCTCCCTAGGCAATCCCAGGAGTCCCCAGTCAACCAGCTCCAAGCTAGCAGAAAACCAAGCAAGTAAGTTTCCATCAAAAGCTGGCACCCATCTAGCAAAGTCTGTGCGTTTCTCTATGCCCATATTGTGTTTTGTATCCTAATCACTGTCATTGTACAGATTGTATCCACAGGCAGGAAAAACCATTACATGAGGAGGATAGTTGTTGCCGGTGTTGTGTCCTACTACAGGTCAGCCCTGTTTGCTTGGTTTGGCTCTTGCTCAGTAGTCCGGATGGAGTGATATAGCTCCTGTTTTCAATGAGGAAATAAAGTGGAGTACATCTAGGGAGAAATCATGATTCAAAAATAAATGGCTATTTATTCATTTTAAAAGTCACCCAGATTGGTGTTTACAAATACTCCCCTCCCCATTGCAATGCATATGTAGTGGAAGGAATTGTCTAAAAGTATTGATTCTCTTCCAGGGGCTGCTCTAATGAGCGCTTGCCTTAATGACATACTGAAAATTAGGTATTGCTTTTATGTCAAGACACAGAGTGAAAATGTCATTGAGGCTGGGCTTACAGCTTTTCAGTGTCATTTTATTCCCCCAAACAATCCTAAGAAATTTTCCTTCCCCTAAAGGGAATTAGCTGGTGTCCGTATATAAATAGGGAACACATTTTAAGCTTGTTTCATTCCATTCAGAATTGTTACACAAATTAGAACGCTTTCCTGATGGTTGGCCAGATAGCACAGGAACCATTAGCCACATATTCATGCTACATACCCTTGTTATGCAGCCCCAAACTACATTCACTTCTTTTCACTGTGCAGTTCTTTTTAACACTAGTCCATAGAGTCATAGAACAGAAGAACTGGAAGGGAACTTGAGAGGTCATCAAGTCCAGTCCCCTGCACTCATCACAGGACTAAGCACCATCTCTAGAACATGCCTGCAATGATCTTCCCATCCCAGCTGGCCAAACTGGCACTTTCTCATTGTAATTCAGATTTAAAACAAATTAATTCCACTGTATACTCCCAAAAATCATTTTAGGATTTCTATCCCCTATTATTCTTACCACTGCATCTTCATGTTAAAGCAGGGAGCTATCTATTCAATCACCTCAAATGATCTTAATTGCAGTATGGTAATGTACACAGAGAGGTGTTCTGGCAAGTGGATAGAGCCTGAACAGAGCAAGTGAGCATACGTGGCCCCTGCCTGCCTGCACATGCATTATTACAGATACATCTTCATCAAACTTTAGCAGCACATGTCACTTTAGAACCGTGAAACCATGAGCAAATGAAAACAAACATTAAGCCAGGGATGGCAGTGTTGAAAGTTCCCCTTGCATTTTTGCTGGAGGCAGATATTGATACACTTCCAGATCTTGGCAGACCTGAAGGTGCTAAAATGCAGTTGCAGGGTGGAATGCCAGAATAATAAAAGTAGCAATCAACATTTTAAACAGCTGAAAAATACATTTTATTTTCTTTAATTACTTATTGGTTTTCTAGTAGCAATAAAAGACCATTTATCACAGTTACCCTGCCAAACAACAATCAATTAGAGCTAAAGCACCCTTAGCTTTGCCTCAGGCCTATTAATACTTCTAGCTGATAGGTAATGTGACCAATAAACCTCAGCTAATAAATCACCATT